TTATTTATCCTCTCTATTTCGCTGCTACGGGGCCGCTCATATCAATGGCGAAAACTTCCAAAACCGTACCTCAGAAGGAGAAAGCTTCTTCCTCACGGTCGTCTGATGATAAGGCGCCGGTGGAGCCGTCAGTTCATGACTATGTTCCTGGACCGTGCACTTTGAAGACCGATTTTAAGGCGGAGAATCCTTCCTCCGTTCCGGGTCGATGTATACGTGCTCTATAACGGAGGATCACCTCGAGACCGTCCGAAAAGACTGCAACTAGGGTTCCAAGGTCGTGTTGCAAATTCCATCTTCCGATAAGAGTGTTACCACTTACGTGGAGGGGTTTTTAAGTGTTTATACTTATCCCTTCACACTGGGACCCGTCGACCCGGTGATTATTGATTTCTTCAAAAGGTATCAAGTCACCCTTGGACAAATCCATCCCTCTCTATGGCGTATAGTGATCCTGTTGCGTTTCTTCTCTATCAAAGCCAGGGGTTGGATTTTTCTCTGAACCACCTCATACGACTGTATCGGCCTCAGATCTTTCGAGGACTAATCAGACTTCATCGTCGGGCATCGAAGGCTTTGATGTCGAGCATCGATGAAGACAAGGATTGGGGTTGGATGAGTCGTTATATTCGAGTAAGGACACGTGATCTCATTCCGGAGGAGAAGATGGCGTTCCCTAAAGAATGAAATTTTGACCGTAAGTGATTTTTGTTCACTTTTCATGTCCTTTTTCGATTTTTTCTGATGTCCTTCCATGATGTTCAGATGCCCCTTGGATGCCACAAGAAGTGCCTGACCTCGAGGATTGGGTTCGGAAGCTAGCCTCGACCTCCTCTTATGCCGAGCGCGCTTGGCGTGATTTGGCAAAAGGCAGATGGGAGGCCAAGAACCATGGTGATGTTTGCTTCTTATTTCCTTCGAAATATTCTTTGCGTTCTATTCGTTACCGATTTTCTTTTGTGCAGGCATAACCAGGGATGCCGCTTTGAGGCCTTCGAGCGGTGAAGAAGGAAACAAGTCCCAAGTCCCTAAACAGGGGGAAGATAAGAAGCGAAGAGCTTCCTCTCGGTCAGAGGACCCAAAGCCCAAAACTCGAAGGGTGAGGAGAAAAGTAATTGCCCTTTCGATTGACTTGGTCCAACGACTGAGAGAAGAAAAAGAAGAAGAAGAAGAAGAAAATAGCTCCTCGGCTTTGGTAGTCCAATCTACGGAGGCCATCGAGTTTGCCAGAGCTCCCAAGCCGATGGCGGCTGTGACTGCCGGGGTTCTTTCCAAAGACCTGAGTCTCGACCGGAGTACTCCGAGTGATTTGCTCGGGGCTATGACAATGGGTCATTCGCTTTCTCTTCCATCTTTTTCTGAGGAGGCGTTGAAGGAAGCTCGAGAGTTGAAGGCGCCCGATATCGGCGAAGGCTCTGGTGCAGGGGATCCTTTTAGGGATTGTTTTACTGGAGTCGGTGATGGTTCCGATATTGGTGATGCTTCTCTTTTATTAGAGGAGGCTCAGCGTTTCATTACTCGGGTAATGATTCTTCCATACTTAGTTTCTTTGTTCTTTTCCATACTTGACTCGTGTTTCTTACTGTGTAGGCCATTAGTAGGTTTCGAGTTGATCTTAGCCAGTGTGAGGCCGAGCTCCGGAAGGTCTCAGGTGAGAGAGATGCCCTTCGGCTTCTTTGCAGCCAAAAGGACGAGGCTATAAAGGACCTCCAAGCGGATTTGGCTAAGGTCCGTGAAGAAGGGGTCGAGCTCGATAAGCAGGTGAGCCTCGTTCTGTTAAAGTATGGGTCTGACTCAACCGTGGAAGTTAACCCTTCGTTGTCTCAGTTGCAACAAAATATCGAAAAGATCGGGTTACTTCGAGAAGAAGTCGATCAAATCCGAGCTGAATGCAATCGGTGGAAGGAGACCCTCGACCGCCTGGCAGCGGAAAAAGAAACCATCTTTACAAAATTATTATCGGCCGACGTTTAACTTCGAAGTGCCAAGCAAAAGGGGCCGGTTCAAGATAAGAAGATCGAGAAGTTTGAAACACGACTTGCAGAGGCTAAGGCGGAGGTTGAGTCGTCGAAAGTCTTGGCGGATAAGTCCATTGCTGTATATCGGGCTGATGCTGAGGCTGCTCAGATGGAGGCCCGGGAAGCGGCGAAGACCGCCGATACTCGAGCTCATTGGGTTGCCGAACTTGCTAAGTGTAGGTCTCGGAGGGAGACCCTTGAGGAGATACACGCTCGAGGTTTCGACCTCACCGAAGATGTAAAAAAGGCAAAAGAGCTCGAAGCGGAAGCTGAAGCCTTGGCTTCTGATGATGATGGTAGCAAAAGTGGATCCGAGGACGGGGAAGAGCTCGACTAGGAAGCTTAATTTCTAATTCTTCATGTTTGCAATTTAATCACGTAGGCAATTTTTGTATATATATGTATAACGAGGTCAACTTGTTTTTGTTTTGTGAAGACTTTTAATCGAATGTTGACCTTGTAGTCTCTCTGATCGATCAGATTTGTAGCCCCTGGGTTAGAAATGAGTTAGAAAAACAAGCACAGTGAAATCTTAATGTATCTTGGAGGACTTGCCTCTATTGCAGTCTATCCCCCTTTTTATAGTAGAGGATCACTGTTTTATCTATAACAATATAATAAAATAATACATATAGTGGAAGACCCATGATGGTTTGTCTCTTCCTTGATTCTCGCCAAGATTTTCTCCCTCGGTGCGGTTGTAACGGCTCTTGTCTGCGAGCTTGGCACTAGCTCGAGCTCGGTGTGAGATCAAACCCCCAATCTTGGTTCGAGCTCGGTTCTGCCTTGGGGCATCGATATTCGGTGTTGCCCCGTATTCCGATTCGGACACAGGCTCGATAATGATATCGAGTTTTGCCGTTTATAGCTCGAAACTCGACGTCCCTACTTCAGAATTCGTCTGAGCTTGTCATGTGGATATCCTTCGATTGAAACGTCATTGTCTCGACCGATCTTTATGACTGAGAATCGATTTTGACCGTAAACACATAGCTTGCTAAAATTTCTAGCGAATGTACTTTAAAATTTGGCGCGCGTTATTTTTCCCAACACTTCTCTTATCGAAGTTAAAAAACCAACAGTGGCACAAAAATAGCATATTTTTATCATTCTCCTCTTTAGTAAACGCCAAGGATAGGAACGAAGCATTTTTTTAAAACAGAAGACAAACTTGTGGCATTTCGCATAATCAAAGAGGCATTATTTTATGCTTTGCCCTAACATTATCGAGCATGATAGAAAATTCAAAATAACAAAGATTCCTCAATGAAACAGGGACAATGTACAAGACAAGAATATAAGAACAAAAGGAGATGAAAATATAAAGGCAAAATGGCATCGGGGTCACTTAAACTTGTACCAATTTACCGATCCGGTAACTAACTTACAACTTTTTCATTTGAGCCCCTCAACTTAATTATTTGCACATAAATAAATACAGTGCTTATGTATCAGTAATATAACGGACATGATAGTAATGCGTGCCAATCACAAAACAAAACGCGTGAATGTTGATTTTTATTAAAATAAAATACTTAAATCATAAATAAAAATTTTAAATAGAAAGTAAAGAACCAAAAGAACGAAAAAAATCCTATCATCTCCCTTACGTCTCCCCCCTCCATCCTAGCACCTTAATCCCTTCCTCTCCAGATGTGTTTCCCCTGCATTTCAAACACCACCCCTTTCTTCCCACCCCCCATATCCCTTTAGTTCTCACTTCTTATACAAGATCTATCTTTGTCGGTGAAATCGTTTACAATGGTGGTGGTAATAATTAATGTATATTGGGATTGATTTTTGGAGTAAAAGAGATATTTTTGAGGGTTATAGCATTTTTTTTAATTGAAATCACTAAATCAAATTTTGCATTGGAGGAATTTTCCAATTTTCCTGGCGCCGTGGAAAATGAGTTTGACATTAAAAGTTTATTAGTTGGAGTCGCTAAAGTTTGTTGGGGTCGATTTGGTATTTTTTTGGTATTTTTTCTTTTCGGAGATAGGTCTAATTAGTATTTTATGGCTAGAGCTTATGGTGGTGATAGACGAAGTTGGTGGAGTAAGGTGGGCTGGTTAGAGATACAAATTTTAACAGTATGGTTTGTCGCAATATGCATCAAGTTCAATTAATTTAACTAAAAAATAAAAGGAACAATTGTCACAAACTCTCTTTTTTTAACTGTCTATACAAAAAAAACGTGTTCATTATTCTTGGTTTTCTGGCTAGAATTTTGCCTCGGTTTGCTTAACGTAGAAATTCAAATTGTTTGTCATATCTATCAAATCTATGTAATGTAATCCCATAGCATTTGTGGGAAAGAAAGTGAGCAAATATTGCTTTTAAGAAAGATTTTTGTACGTGTTTCAAGCCTAAATCTTTTCTATGGAACTTTAAGATAAGTCCCTCTCATTCTTTGGACAACTCCGAAGTTGTGCATTACCATTACATGACTAAACAAATAAGCTGTTTGTTCCAACTACTCCTTTGCCTTCAATATCTTCCTAACCATTTATGATGTTCGTTTTGGACATAGTCCCCACATAAGATTTTCTTTTAATATTATAAGCATTAGCCCATTGAATCCATAGTCTTGTTTTTTTTATTACACAGCATTTTCCACACAAAAAGGTCAGTCACAAAATGTCCCATTTCATCACGGAAAATTAGAAAAAACATATACCGACTACTTTCTACTTAAAAATAGATTTGAACTATATAAAATATGAAATTATTTTTGACATTATATTTAGTGGTAAAAACTAAAGTTACTATGTGATGATAATTTTCAGAATTATTACATAAACCTAGAATATTTTCTAAAATAATACATAAATTTTTGTGATTGGCAGAGATGTGTGCAAGATGGCTCATACATATATCTCGAAAAAAAAAAAAGTGTTACACACATATTATGATTTTAACAATTTATTAGAAAGCATAAACATATCGAGTCATTCATAAACTTGAGAGGTGAAAAATTAATTAAAGGGGAGCAGAAGCACCACATTCCTTCCAAAGCTTGTCACTATTTTCCCAAACCTCAATTTTATTCACTCCCTTCAACTCAGGACTGTCAAGAGTAGATTCCACAATAATGTTATGACATTTTCTCCCCAGTGTCAAAAGCTGGCCACAACACTCTTCAACATCGCTATACTTTCCACTATCGAATATCCTATTGAAAATGATCACTCCACAATCATCCGAAATCTTTTCCAAACATTCCCCCACTTGCGTGTGAAATCCAGGGTATGGCTCAGGTGCCAACGTTTGTTTATTGTTATGATCAGAAACTGAATATAGTGAAAAATCATATGATTCTTCGTCGTAGTTGGACTCTGATTGATCATAATCGATGTTATCAATAACATCTGCATCTAGAAGATCAACATCATTGCCGAAGTCTTCTTCAATGGCTAGTGCTATTGGTGTCACAAGAAGAAACATGGAAACTGCGGCAATTGCTACAAGCCTCATCAGCTTTGCCATCTTGTGTCTTTGAAAATAATATTAGAATAGAGGAGAAATGGTTAATTTGTGAGTATATATTTCATAGGAAATTAGGAGTGAGGGGGAATTAATGAAGCAAAATAGTAGTAACGTTTTAAAGTTGGAAATGACGAATAAATGTGTCATTAATTTCCCATAATTTCCATTCATTGTTTAACTCTCTTTTCTTAACTGTCTATACAAAAAAAATGGGTTCATTATTATTGGTTTCCTGGCTAGAATTTTGGCTTTGTTTGCTTAACGTAGAAATTCAAAAGGTTTGTCATATCTATCAAATATATTTAATGTAATCCCATAGCATTTATGGGAAAGAAAGTGAGCAAATATTGCTTTTAAGAAAGCATTTTGTACGTGTTTCTAAGCCTAAATCTTTTCTATGAAACTTTAAGATAAGCCCCTCTCATTCTTTGGACAACTCATTATAGAGAAACTGTGCATTGCCATTACATGACTCAACAAATAAGTTGTTTGTTTCAAATACTCCTTTGCCTTCAACATCTTTCTAACCATTCATGATACTCGATTTGGACATAGTCCCCACATAAAATTTTCTTTTAATATTATAAGCATTAGTGTCACGCCCGAAATTCCCACATTCGAACTGTGATGACGCCTAATATTTCACTTGCTAGGCAAGCCAATGTTAGAATAATATTAACCAATTTTAAACAATCTTTAAATTATTAATAATCAAATAAACAAATGCGGAAGCAATATTTGAATATAGTGAAATAACTCATAAAAACAACGGTGTCTAAATACCATCCCAGAATTGGTGTCACAAGTGCACGAGCTTCTAGAATAAATATAAATAAAGGTCTGAATAAAATAAAGTTGTCTGAAAATAAACACACAGCTAAAGTAAAATAGATGGAGACTTCAGAACTGCGGATGCCATGCAGTTATACCTCAAGTCTCCTCCGAATAGCTGAAATCCGAGCAAG